TCTCAAAGACCCTTTAAACATGATATTATATGTTGACACACTGCCTCATGTGATTTGGTTATAAGATGTGGTATTTGCTATTAATTATTTTCTTGGGGCTGTTGGCATTTAACCAAAAAAAATATATATATATTTTGAGGCTCTAAGACGCTGAAAGGTTTATTTTACATATATATTGTATGACCAGACCAGTTTCAGTTACACTGAATCTTCATACTTAATAACATGCATCACACAGACAGTTGGATACATTTCAAAGATAGAGGAAAAGGGGTGAGCCTTGTGCAGCTCTCTGGTTCAGCCATAAGCATCTGCTGGAGTCAGTCTGTCAGCCTTGGGCTTGATGTGTCTGTCAGTCACAGCTTATTCTGACTGAGCACCTTAAACGCTGGCTGACAACATACACATGTTAGACAGAAATGGGTTCCTTCACTTTGCAAAGCTCTCTCTGACATACTTTTCAGCCCAGACACCAGACTATTGTTGTTTATTGGTCTGTTACTAATGTAAATTGTAAATTGAGCAGATAAAATCATATTAATAAGGCTGCATAAATAACATTTATAAATAATATAAATAAAGTTCTTGAATAATAGATAAATGATATCCCACTTAGGCCGGGAAAAACACAAATAACCTTGTTTGAGACAACCTCACAAAATATTTGAACCACAGCAAAACTAACAGAGTTCATCTAAGGTACACAAACACACTCAAACACTCAGAGATGTTCCAGCACCGGGTTGAAGCTCTTTTCCACCACATCTCAAACTTAATTTACTACAGTAGAGAGGAGTTAAATGCCTGCATGTTACCACTTCTGTTAATTTAAGCATGATATCATTCTGAGCATTAGCATTTTATTCATATTTGCATTCCTCATGTGGAGCCACAAACCGGGCCTCCTACACAGATAAAAGCACTATTATTGCAAGGCAACTGTAACATTATGCCAGAGCTGTCAGGAAGAGATTTAGTGCCTGGGGAACTATATCTTGACATTGTACATGTTAAGTGTTAAGGAATGATACCAAAGTCTGAGATTTGCTGCCTCTAAATCTTTATCTCAGAGGCGCCACTGTAGACATGCAAGTGAAACAGCAAACTGGAAATCATTTCTACATTTCTACATGTATCTAACATACAGATCAAGAGGCCTGTGCAAACCATTGCTTATTTCTGGGCTACAATGTGAAACTCAGTATTAATTATAGTTTTCGTAGCATTTGTTGCACATTGTCTGTAAATATTATGAACACATTCATTGGGCTTGTCAGTTTATGCCCTTTAAAGCTGCACCAAACAATATTTTCATATTGACAACTGGTCAAATGATTACTTGTACTGTGAAAGGTATCAGACATAGTGACGAACACACAGAGAACTATCCCTATCTCTGCAGTTCCCCTTAGCTATACAGAGTGTTTTAGTGTCCTTCGGCTCATTTTGGTTTGGTTCACTTTTACCACTCTCACTGACTTTGCTTCCAGCAGCAGGCAGCTGTTTTCAGTGAATCAGCTGTGACAAACCTGCTACGCTACCTGCTCTGAACCAGATGGTAGGCTGGCAAAGTTAACCACTAGCTTGTGAACATAGTGCAGCATTGAGCAGCTTCAGAGCCAGATAGTTGCCTCAGGAGTTGGTGGAGACAAAACTGGCAACTGCTTGATTATCAATGTTGTCTGTATACATACACTGTATAATTAAAAAGTGACTCAGTCAAACTCAGTGACATCACCCATAGGTTTTCATTGTGAAGCTCAGTTTGGTCGGCTCTGGTCGTCGCCATCTTGGCAATCTTGACTCCGCTGGCTCCCGGCTAATCCAAAAATGAGCGGTGAAGATGAGGCGGGCTGAATGAGGCCTAGTTACTGGAAACTGTCACTCAAAACGACCACGCTCTTATGTAAGCGAATCTAAACGGGTGAGTTCTATAAAAGTTCACCCCTCGTACAGTTGTTAGGAACAAGGAATTTAGCTATAGAGATCAAAACAGTTTTTTGTACCAGGCTGTAAACATGTTTATTTCTGCTGTAAAGTTGAGCATTTTAATATGGGCCCTTCAGATTGACGTTGCAGGAACTGCAGTATTTGTTACTTCCGTGATAGATATTTTCTGTTACCTTCAAGTGGCCACAAATGGTTTAATACTAACTTTACTACTACATTCATATTATTTGTGAGTAGCCTGTCCTTAAAAAAATAACATTTCCTTTTAAGTAGTGGCTATGCCATACACCTTGAAATAAAGGAAGTATAAGTGAAATACAAGTGGAAAACCACAAATTCACATGGCCTCAGAAATTAGTTGAAATGATTTGATTTTTCTTCATTTTTGGACCTAACACACTCATTTTATGTGTCATAGTTAACATTTATTCTATAACTCACAGTTCACAGTTCATTCAACACTGGCCACTGGGGGTCCACATCCCAAAGTCTCTGCCCTGGTTTATTTTCAGTATTCAAACATTAAAAGTGAGTGGAAAAGCTGCCATCACATGGGGGTAAACTTGTAGTTCAAAAAGAAAGAGATTAAAACTCACCGTGTGGACATCTGTGTCAAATTCTAAACGTCTTGTTGTGTTTTCTGGGAGTAGAAGAAATCTCTGGTGACAAGTGCCTTTGGCTGTGTGTGAGTTCAGTTTGTTACAAAAACTCTGCAGTATTATGAGTTTAACCCAGTTGCATCTTGTGGGACAGTACCATCAGGATTTACTTTAAGATTATGTTGTTTCAGTGTTCACGAGTAGACTGGGAGTTGACACGTGTAACCACATCCAGATGAAGGTGGGCTTTAGCGACATTTTGAAAATCCTGTTATAATTCCACTGAAAACAGGATTTTCCCTTCACCAGATGGCACAAACCACCCACAGACAGAAGGTGAATAAAGCATTGAACAAACTAGACCAAGACTCCAAAGCTGCCTCCTCGTTCATCAGCCACAATGAGATTTCTGTTTGAGTTCTGCTAGGAACGGTTAGCGAGGCTTTAGCTGAGCTATGAACTCATTTTGTTGCGTTCACAGATAAGGTCACTTTGTCAGAGACAGCCAGGACAGTGACACTTTGGGGGATTATTCAGGAACAGATTAGGATGTTAATGTTTTGTGCAGCATGCTACTGCAAGGCTGAAAAGTTTGTCTTGACTGTTGAGGGATTTTAATGGTCCAGACGGTCCAGATCACTAGATATCAAGTAGTCCCTTAAGTCTCTAATGCGTCCTACGTTGTAGGCATAAAACCTCTTGGCTCTTGCCATATCAGAAGAACAAAAAAAAAAAACCTGTGTGTTTTTAAAGCCACAGTCATATGATATCACATTGACAATTCAGATTTGGGTCAGTAAATTTCACTGCTTATTCACCACTCTTACATTAATATGTTTTGATTCAGACATTTTCCCGTCCAAATGGCCACAGATAACCTCTCACCGTGTCAGCGTCTGTTTTATGAGAGGAACATTTTTCCCCTTTTCAGGCAAAGGCTGCCTAGCTGCTATAAATGTGTTGTTTTAGTCTGAAGGGATTTATGGTGAAAATGGAGACGTGGAGGAGATATTCATTAGTAGTCATGTCACTATATAGTCGTCCTTGACTGCATTTTATTTTGTTTTCCACGGTGGACTTTCTGTAGCTTGTCAGAATGTCCCAAAAAGTGTTTTTATCATGTATTATTTCAATATTCTGGGTTGCTTTATATTCACTGATCTGCAAAGTGAGGTCATGAAACACAGCAGTTTTCCCCTGAATATGATCGTGTTATGTTTACTGATTTTTATCCCGGCTTTATCCAGCCCCATGCTGTACTGCAACATAATTCCACACTGACCACAGAAGCGTTTGGCAGTATTATTTTATTTTTTTCAGCACCCTGAAAAAAGTTTGGTGTTCTTTTCTCTCATCACTTATTTCCTGTGTGGAAGGAGGCATTTTATGTTTGTTTTGGCCCGGAACAGAATGAGCTGCGATGGGTGGGAGAGAGCTAGACTCTCCTCCTGAGTTCACCCCAACAGCCTCAGTCTAAGTCTGGCCACCATTTTCCCTCCATATCTCCTGCTTTACCTCCCTTTACCTTTGTCCACCTCCTTGTCCACTCCTAGCTCTGTGTATTTTACTCTGTCTGCCTTTTCACTCACCTGCAGCTGAGTTACGGCTGCTCTAGCTAAACCCATGGAGATGAGCACATTTTTATGACTTATTATACACTTCCTGTAAATTTGTTCATGTCATTCATCTTTAGAGTTTGGTTTGGCACCTTACAACCACATGTAAAACTGAGCAGTATTTAAATTTTTTTTTTATGAATGTTGGGACCTGGCTCATACATTAGCTCTGAGGGAAAGAGACAAAGCAAGAGGAATACCTCAGCTTTAAACAGGGAATCCATATGGAAGCCAAGCGAGAGCTGCAAACCTACTAGAAGGCCTGGAGACTGGCGGCTTTCCAATACGGTTTCCTTATTGGTGACTGTGGTCCGTTTTGGGACTTACCCTGGCACTGCAATAACCACATTCAGCCTGGTGTGTTTGAGTGTACGGTAGCTCACTGGGGCCACTTTTAAGCTCCTCCACCACCTGTTCGCACAGGGAGTTGCTTTTACTGCTGGTTTGAGTGAGTTTATGGACTGCTGATGTTAACTGTTCTATTTTTACTATGCCCAGGTTTCCTGTAAATCATTACCGCCAATGTGACAAAGAAAACTCACACGCTAGAGATTTATGAAGGAAATTCTGGGATTAGTAAGAAGACAGTCATGGCAAAATTGTGCCTTCTGGCAAGTAACAAGATCCCTGCTAATTAGATATTCTATTATTGTTTTTAATGATGTGAGTTTACAGTGTGACTTAGCTTAGATTTTTAAATATAATCTTTTATGCCTAATGAGATCTTAAACAACTATTGTACTGGACACTTTTAGTGCACACTTTGATGTTTCAGCTACAGCTGTTTCACACATCCCTTATTCACTTAGACTCCTTTTTCCCCTCTGTCTCACAGAGTCTAGGCTGCGATGAGTATCTCGGATCGGGAAGGGTGATGGACAAGTGCGGTGTGTGTGGAGGCAACAACACAACCTGCAGGCTGGTTTCTGGAGTGTTCAAACACAGTTTGTCCAAGATCGGCTACCACAAGATAGTGGAGATTCCAGAGGGAGCCACCAAGATCAACGTCACAGAAATGGTGAAGAGCAGAAACTACCTAGGTAAGAAAAAGTGCTCAACACTTTTATACTGCATTACACAGCACCAGCTCACACAGTGATCACTACCATGTTTGTGGTTTCACAACAGAAAACCTGAGCTGATTAAAGCAATGGTCTTTGGTCTTGTTGCTCAAGACTGATGTGCTGGTTTTTATCCTAGTTTTAAATCTAACATTGTGAATGTTACTACAGTTAACTACCAATAGAACAAAAACAGCATTACCCTTTGACTAGGGTTGTCAGCTTTCTTTAAACTAACAAGAGGGACGGCCCAAGGAAGTCTGCTGTCCCAAAACAAAAATAAAACATTTAATCCCATGTACCCTAAAATATGTTCCTTTTATTAAAAAACATTTGAACAAAAAACAACAGCAGCGGACCCTTTCCTAATAGATTGTTTCCTTTTTTGCTTAATTCACTACTGAACTCACTAACTTTTAATAAAGAGAAATAAAGTATAAGGGAGTATAAGTCAGGCACTATGTGCACAAGGAAATGGATATTCTCAGTTGAATGTCACTGCTTTAGATGGGAATAAATAAAGAAACATACGGTAAATATTGCTGTTGTCTATCTAAATAAATAAAAAGGATGTTGGTTCTCTGCTCACACTTTTGCTTCCATGCCTTCTGCATCATGGCTCAGCTGAAAGCTATGTCCCCACTTGCTGCTTCTGCTGCCACTGCTGTTCATATTGCTTTGCAAAAGCCCCACTTCCAGCATCCACCTGCAGGCTCTGAGTCTACCTTCCCAGGGGGGAGGTAATCATTGTCACTTACCACTCCCTGCTGTGCTAAGCTTGGTGTTTTCTTTTGGGGAGCGATGAGGTCACAGTCTAGACGCCAAATATCAGTGCTGTACATATTTTGCATTCACGTAATAATCCATTCCATGTGAATCGGCTGAGTGAACTACATTTGAGTTTCTTTGCAGCATGTTAGTGTGTTACATACTGTAATAATACTGTTTTAGGATCTATTAATTTGCCTGAGAACAATCTGAGCAGTTAATAAAAGCTGAAATTGAGTTTTTATTCAGTAACAGGGTACAGTCCAGAAAGCTCAGTGCCAGAAATGTCTGCAATATTTTAAACAGGCCTTGCAGTGTTTTCTGGAGTACTTCTGTTCTGTCACAGTCAATTTAGTTTGCCTCTCGGCAAATAGTGAGTTCCACTATCCATCCAGGTTTATAGTTTCATCAATTGCAGAGCTCTGCCTTCATTCCAGCTCAAAACACAGAAGATTTCCATTTTCTTCTGTGTCCATCCACCATATATACTACTAAAATACTATAGAGAAGTTCACATTTGACAATTCTACATGTTCCAGCTGTGCAGGCAGCAGCTGCTTGTAAAATTAATTAGATTTGTCTGAAAAGGCAGATCAACCAGGGGGTGGTGTCACTTTTTCAGGATTTCTCCAGCGTGCAGCCTTTATTACCACCCACCACTGCGGTGCCGTCTTTCAATGGAGCCTCTGAGTGAGGCGCACTACACAGATAATTGGCGTCTTTAGGAGGTGCAACTGTGGGACACAGTGGTGGGTTATTCTCAGAAGTGACTATTGGAATGTCAGACATTGTTTAATTAGAGCCATGCCCCAGCTCTGCAGTAGGTTCGGAGGAAGAGGGGAATGGCCTTGATTTCCCCCCCACAGCCGCTTCCCTTGAGGAAAGTGAATAAACATGCTTTCATTTGAGGATCTTACCCCTAAAGCCTCACCATCCTTTTTAATTAAGGTGAGGAATTTCAGCACTCTGTAAAAGAAGAACTAGAAACACTGAAGATGGGTTCAGTGGCTGCCTTTCAAATCCCATCTACTTTGATGCCAAGTGTGCTCCACTTTCTTTAATTTGAACTGACCATTTTTATACACACCAGTACACAGAGTTATGTACAGCCAAACACACATACACATTAACCGGTATATGCACCTTTTATAACATCCACTCTCTTAGCCTTTCACATCTACGCAGTCACACATGTATACTGTACTACTACCCTTCTGTAAGCAAAAGCACAAATCATGCATGGACATGCTTTCACAATGTAAGAAACTGAAACATCCTTGTAGATAAAATAAACAGGAGTCATCTTATAATGCTATTTTTAAACCGATAGGTACCATTTACAAAATTGCAGGCAGCAGCATGTTTTTAAAATGGATATTTCGGTTTTTAAAATGCAAACAAAAATATGAAACACGGGCAGGAGTCTAGCTGGAGCCACCTACCGTATCCTCACCACGTCCCTGATCTTCCCTCAATAGGCCTCTGTTCTACATTGTGCATCTCTAATGTGCTTTTAGTTGTCCAAACACTCTTTTACAAACCTGTCTAATGTTACACTTCTAATGCTTTTCTAATGGCCTATTGTACTTAATCCATGAAATCAGTGGAAAACATCTTGGGAGATTTTGTTACAGGATTTGCATGAAGGAATTGCCAGCACAAACAGATTGTCACGTTTCTAAAAGACATTGCTTTGAAAGTGCACGTGAGAGCATTTATTCCGTTAGCTATAATTACTTTTTTTGGGTGTAGGAAGTCAGTGCTACAGTTCTCATTACGCCTAAATGCTTTTACATTGAGCAATAATTATGTGGAAGAGGTTGTGGCAGTATTTTCCTTTTCGTTTGAGCTCAGGGCTGTCGGTGGTGATTGTGTGGTTGTTCTCTCTGTCTCTCCCAGCTCTCCGAAGCCGATCAGGGCGATCCATCATTAATGGAAACTGGGCTATTGACCGACCAGGCAAGTATGAGGGAGGGGGGACCATGTTCACCTACCGCCGACCCAACGAAATCAGGAGCACAGCTGGGGAGTCCTTTCTCGCTGAAGGGCCCACCAATGAAATCCTGGACGTTTATGTAAGTAATGAATCAACTAAGACCTCCAGATACTTACAGTAGTGACTCATTTTCTCTTTTATTCATGCTGGCAAGCTTCAGTTTGACCCGAGAATCTAAGGTTTGTTGTTGTATTATCACTTTTCAGGGCAGGTATTGCGTTTTAGAAGGATACTCTTAAAATATTTGACGGTGAAAAGTATTATTTTATGACTGACTCTACTACTTTGCCTCAGATGATCTTCCAGCAGCCAAACCCTGGTGTTCACTATGAGTACATTCTCCCTACTGAGCAACCAGTTGGCCCTCAGCAACCAAACCACAGACCAGAAGGTAAATTAAACGTACTTTTTACCCCCCTAACTGTTTATTACCATAGCTCTGATTGCTCAAGACATTTTATAGGGAAAACAATTCATCAAGAGTGTTGGTTGCTGCCCTGCACAAATCCATCTAATCATAATACCAAGCACCAAGCAACCAAACAATCTGTTCGCCGCAGTGACCTTCGTTTCTTAGTGTGTCTAAAACTCATGTGCCCATGTCTCAGGGAATGGTGTGAATGGACAGGGTGGATACGACAATCACAGAAACACTGACCAGGAAAACTTCAACCAAGCGGGTGGGGGGAGGGACCCTCCTCGTCTCCCTGACAACCAGGTTCCCATCGCACAGCCACCCAGACGCGCGAGAGATTACAACTGGAAAATGGCTGGTGCTACAGAGTGCAGCGCCTCCTGTGGTAAAGGTCAGTTAAACTATTTGTATTTAAGGGTTTTAGTTGCAGACATACAGAGTTAGAGCCAAAGGAAAGTGAGCTTGAGCTTTTACATGATCAACAATGAATGCAACCAAAAGTGCTTCTAATGCAAAATAATATAACATTCAGTGTTGGGCTAGTTACTCAGAATTTTTTTTTTGTTACTCATTACTTATTTTAAAAGTAATATTATTACTTTGCTTATTACTCCCTGCCAACAGTAATTAGTTACACTACTAGTTATATTACTTTTCTGCTACTCCACACATTCAGATTTACCACGATTAGAATCCCGTAAAAACAAACTAATAAAAAATTATCATTTGTTTTCAGATTCAGTGCCTAAATTAAACATCTGCTTTGTGTGCTTTTTAGGATTCAGGTATTCCATCTTTCACTGTGTCTCCCGGCTAAACCATGCCCAGGTATCGGATGCTTTGTGTGATAGCAGCAGCAGACCGACTCCAGAGGAAGAGGCCTGCAACCTGCAGCCCTGCCCAGCCTTGTGAGAGACCACACTCTTCTGTTCTCACGCTTGAATTTAAAAGACCATTAAAAAACAAAGTTGACTGAATAGTATACACACTGCTGTTATATAATTGTTAAAGTTTCATAAGTTGAAAAAGGCCCTTAAATACAGCATATAACAGATATGAGAAGAAGATGCTGTCTTAGTTTACCTTGCAGACACCTCACAGAACCAGTGTTCAGTTTGCAATGTATATTAACATCTGTGTTGTGTTTATCTGCTGTTTTGACTTATATTTGGAACATGAAGCTTTCTCGACCTATTATTACTCAAAATAGTTATTTCAAAACAATGGTCAAAACATACTTCGTATCACAATATAAACAACAAAATGCATATATTATACACTGCATATACCTTCTTATCACCAAGCTTTGATGATTTTTACCTGAGCAGCTGGGATATTGGAGAGTGGTCAGAATGCAGTAAGACATGTGGCTTGGGCATGCAGCACCGGCAGGTCCTGTGTCGCCAGATTTACGCCAACCGCACCCTCAACGTCCACACGAGCCGTTGTCGAGACTTGGAGCGGCCTGAAATCGCCAGTACCTGCCAGCTGAAGATCTGCAGTGAGTGGCAGATCCGCTCCGAATGGACTGCTGTGAGTGGCAGCTGTTAGTCACAAAGTGACTGCATCACACCTGTCTGACCTGTCTCTGCAGTTAGTGTATAACCAAGTGCTGTGCATGGTTGTTATTTTATCCCTGACATCAGTATCATCAGTATCTTTAGGTTTTCACTCTCCACCATTTAAAGGAATGGTCAAACTTTTTGGGAAATAAGCTTTCATACTGTATCTGATGTTACAGTAAATATGAAGCTGGAGTCTGGAGACAGCTTGGTTTAAAATGTAAAAAGGACAAGGTGTGTTTTTTTCTGCTCAGCACTAAACGACAGACAGCAACGCGCTGGTGAAAATAGTGGAGCATTTAGCAGCTATAGAGAGTTATTTTCCGAATTAAAGAAAGGATTAAAATACAATTTGTTATTTTCTCTATCTATTCCAATGCATGATGATATGTTAAAATGTGCCTTATGCTTCTTCTTTGCCTCGCAGCTGGCCATGCTTGCTAAAAAAGGGTGTGTGGCTCTGTTGCAGTCCACTTTAGATGATGTGGAACATTGTGATTGGCTTGTAGACAGCTAGTCAAATAAGTTTGTGCCTTTGGGTGGAGTCAGGTGACAGCAATTATAGATTCTAGACATTCTAGAAATATATGTCCATTGGATTGGACGGGGGATCTGAACAGGCTAACTGAATGATAATGTTGCTCTGTTACTGCTGAATGTGTAAGTAAGAAACTGCTTGGGGGTCGCCATAATAACTTAAATGTTATGGGCAGAAGATATACAGTAATTCTTGAAAACAATAGAAGGAAACACCCCACCTAGGAAAACCACAAACAGAATCCAGTTTGTGCAGAGATACATTAATGCACTATATAAACCAAAGAGTGTACTCATTAAAAAACAAAAACATAAAGAAGCCTTCTAGTCCCTCCAGTAGTGTTTACCTCCATGGTACCGTGTTAATCATGTGGCCTGTGTCTCCATAGTGCTCGGTGCCATGTGGGCTGGGTCAGAAGTCAAGAGAGGTACGCTGTGTCAGCAACGTGGGCGACTTTGTTCCTGATGAGGAGTGCAACATGAATCTGCGGCCCATCGATGTAGAGAACTGTGACATGGGAGCCTGTGCCAAGAGTTGGTTCTATACAGAGTGGGGCAATAGGGTAGGTGTTAGAGTCAATGGGAGGCATAGTAACTTTCATTCATTTTCTAACAGTGTGGTCATTATGTAGGTCTTCATGCATCCAGCATCTGTTTTTGAAAATGATTTATAGATATTTTAATACAGATTTTGACAACTAGAACAACAGCTTGGATAAAGGTTTAGTTCTCCATCACAACTAACTAGTAACTAGTAGAGTTGGAATAGTGTGAGAAAAGGAAATGATTAAAATAAGAGCTGAGAAGATAGAGGGTTTTTTAAAGACTATTAGGAATGACTGAATATAGAAGATAAAAAAACTCAACCCTCTCTGAGTCCTTTCCCATTATAGAGATGTTTTCCTGTTTTCAGTTATGATTCGATGGCTGTAGTAGACAGAAGAAAAGTTCATACATGAAGACAAAGGACCAGTAAGTCCCTGCAGGGATAGGACAACTAATCCAACAGGAGCAGAGAACTGAAATTAACATTTGTTTAACAGTACTGCAGATCTGATCATCAAATCCACTTCAGACTTGAAGGAATATGAACCACAAAGTTAGGGGAGATATGGATTGTTCAAAAGCAGGCAATGTACCTTATGTGTACTGTAAATCAAACTTGTTTCTTCTTTATATACATTTATATACATACATGCCTTTGAATGTCTTGAATTTCCCTCAGGATAAATAAAGGTGATCTATCATCGGTAGTTCGTTACTCCTTATCTTCTGTAGGCTATCATCGGTATCTATCTATCCGGATCTATCTCCACTGACCTCGTATCTATGTCCCGTATCCCTATTCTATCGGTATCTATCTGATCGTATCTTCATCTAATCGGTGAGTCGCGGTGATCGGGCCCGTATCTGTCCTGGTATCATCCTTATCCTATCTTCATGTGTCCACTTAAATCAGGTTATTATTATTAAACAAGTGTTTATTCCACAGTGCTCAGCTGAATGTGGGATGGGGGTACGAACCCGGGGAGTCCTCTGCCTGACTAACCACATCGGCAGCCTTCCTCTGGAGGGCTGTGGCAGCGAACGGCCCGCGGACTCTCAAGTCTGCAACAACGGCCCCTGTGAGAATCGGATTGAGTGGTTCACAGGCCCCTGGAGCCAGGTATGAGTACAACAGAAGGTCACGCTCGGCTTGAGGGGACGTAGTCTGGAGTAGCTAAATATATGGGATTTTACAGTGATTTTACAGTGACATGTCAGGATTTGTTTTCCTGTCTCAGTTTTTGCTACGTGTAATTGAATCCATATGGTCTGTGCTGTTGTATGTGACCCAGTGCTCTGCAGAATGTGGCCCAGGCAGCCAGCAGAGGGCAGTGGTGTGTCTGCTGAAGTCAGAGGAAGGATTCACTGTCATGCCGACGTATGAGTGCTCCTCCCTGGAGCGGCCCCTCAGCCAGCAGAGCTGCAACCTCAAGGCCTGTGGAGCGAAGTGGTACCACACAGACTGGAGTGCTGTGAGTAAGATATGAAACCCTCTCCCCTTTTGCTGTTTAGATGCTCTTAAGCAAGGCATCCACTCCCTACTATTCTCAATAACTAAAATTAATGGCCAACAGGGCTGATAATCTGGTTAGCTACAGATGAAGAAATCCCTTAAAAATGCTATGTAGATACATTGTAGTATACATTGAGTTTACAGACATAGAAAATGGATCTGATTAGGTAAGCTACAGAGAACAATCACAGGCTCATTCATACAGTCAGACTTTGATCTGTCAGAACAGGATGGCAAAGAATAGTATGCTTAATTTCAAGGTCTCCTTGATGAAGTCACTTTGTACTGCATTTGAAATCTGAAGTTGTGCACTTCACAAGTTATTTTCATCTTCATCACGCTCTGGTGTGAATAGCACTTTATCCTTTATTCTTATCCTTTATTTATTACGTACCAACAATTATCATGTATGAATGACAATATTTAAAGAAGCAACAATCAAAGTTAATAAATAATACAAAACTCTGCTAATCTGCCTCATCAGGACTTTGATTTAAGCTCTGTTTGGTGCACCGAAGTGCACGACCGTCACCTTTTTCCAACTAAGCACAAATAAAAAATAAAAAACTGTTCTAACTTTGCCAGAAAATACTGTGTTTATGAGGATGATAAGTGTGAAACTATGTTTCCATAGCCTTTAAAGGTTCAGATTGCAACATTAAGAATGTTTGCAAAGTTTCAGTAGACCAACTTCTGGGTTTTTGGGTTAAGGTTTGATTAATCTGGGACTGACTGCTGTCACTGACTCCTCTCCTTCCAGTGTTCAAAAACATGTGAAGGAGGTTTCCGTGTGCGGGAGGTGCGCTGCCTGTCTGACGACATGCTGTCCAGCGATGGCTGCGACGAGCAGCTGAAACCAGCAGAGAGGGAGAACTGCAACCCAGACCCCTGCATACCTCGCATTGGTCAGTGTTCTCTGGAATATTACTGACTTTTATGAATGATTTTAGCATCCTTAGGGTCATTATTGTGGCTGTAATGTCCAGCTGGATATGAGATATAGAGTAATGTTCATCAATGTGCCATCTCTGAATGCTTGAAATGAAAGCTGTACCTTGAGCAAGGGGTTGAACCCCAAACTTTATTAGAAGTTGAAGCAGCACTGGGGAGCTGTAAATGTTGCTAACGCTCCCATCTCCCTGCAACACTTTACCTAGTCTATTGTCATAGGTTCCTACACAGCTCCCTTGGTTTAATAAAGGTCACATATTATTTGCTTAATTTTTGTTTCAGATGAGAACTGCAGAGACAAGTACTTTAACTGCAACGTGGTGGTCCAGGCTCGCCTCTGCGTGTATGATTACTACAAGACGACCTGCTGTGCTTCATGTTCACGAGTGACCCACAGACAGTCGATTCATCGGGGCCGCAGCTAGCACTCTCTACCACGGTCCCTCAGCTCCATGTCGGACCAGACTCAATACTCCGCCACAGGCACTCTGTTCTTGGGCCAGCCAAGGGAGTGAACTGGCTGGATCTTGGCTTAAACGGACTCTTGTTTTGATTCCCAAGGATGGAAGCTGAAGAAGGAACATTTCTGATGGCTTATTTGGAGACAGCTGTTGGGAGAAAAGGAATACCTAAGAACAGTGGAGGACAGGAATCCACTCACTCGATAAACAGAGTGCTGGTGGGGTGAGAAAGATCAGTAGCAAACTGAGGAAACTACAAAAAACCTTATGGATTTTAACCACAACGTTTAATCTAAAGAATTAAATTTTTTTGTTTCAATGGAAGCAGTTTGCAGCTGGCTGTTGTGGATTACATGACATGAAGTGGAGAGCACCTGTAAACTATTTAAGATGGACTATGTATAGAAAGTACTGTTTATGTTCTAATATGGTTCTTTACACTACAATGCTCAGATTCATGGCATGATGTCATATGAAGTCGATGCTGTCTCACGTGTAATCAGCTATTTAACAACCACTTGTTGACCAAAGATATGTAACCTCATCAAACTGAAGGCAGTGACAAATTGCCATTTTCACAGAAATACTGTGCGTCAAACCTTCCATGATGCTGATGATGTAACCTTTGCGCAGCATGTATTCACAAGAAAAATGTGTGAATTCGATTTTATTTGTGGCACGGATGAGGTTTTTCTGATTACCTAAGCAGTGGCAAACCACCTGGTTTTCGTGCCTGCGCAGCCGTTAGGTGTAAATGCAGCATTTGTAATATGTATGTATATATGTATGTTTGTATGACAGAGTGAATGGTAAAAGGTATTTTTTAAGGGGTTCTCAGACAATCTTCCCAGCAACTGAAGAGAAAAAAAGCCCTCTTTATTTATTTGTGTGGCTCCCCAGGGAGGACACTGGTTTATCGGCCACCAGTGGCCCCTTTTTGGCTGTGGGGATAAAACCTTTGCTGTCTCTCCACCAATCACAGCCTCTGGACTGAATGTAGGCATTCCACAGCCTGCTGGATGGTGGAAGCAGATGGTGAAAAACCCCAAAGTATTTTTGAAGAGGTGAAACAAACTGCATATATTTTTTTTTTTTCTGTGGGAGATCATTCCACCATTGTACAATCCCTGATAAATCCCTAATTATAAATACATTGAATTATCAATAAATCATTATTAGTATTTGATTGTAAAGAAAAATCCCCACAGTATTTTACAACTATTAATCTGGTATGGTATATATGAGGTTTACATTAATAGTAAGTCCTTGTTAAATCAGCCTCTCTTTCAGTTTCATACAGAACCTGCACACTGGGCCTCTCAAGTGTTGTTCAAACTGTTTTTGTATTATATGTTAGCAGTTCCCTCCATGCACCATAAATTTACCTCAGATCCATAAGTACTGTATGCATCAATGTTCAAGTTTGGGATGACTCAAGTGTGCAATTGATTCAATATCTAAATGCAAGAAACAAACCATCAACATCTGAATGTGTTGACATGATGACGTGATACTGGATTTTCCCCAAAACAATCAAAAAGAATTAAACTAAAATACCAGAATCCTTCCGTATTCGAATGACTGCAACTAATAAAACATCTGTACTTGTCTTCTTTTACATTACAACTGTTCAACTGTTTATTTTTCATGGAGTGTTCTTGAGAATTTTTGAAATAAACTAAATTACTAATTATTTGTACACTTGCACAGCATATTTTCCTTGTCTGATTTTTTAAACTGATTCAGTTTTTCATCACACCAAGGACGAGTCATCCATGTAGAGGACAAAGGCAGTGTTACATCAAATAGATTTACAGTTCCACTATAACTCCGTCTTAAGGACGAATGTCAGAAAAACTTTCTTCAGTATATTAATATTTGAGCAAATTGATACAAATATATATATTTTTAATCACATTCTATGTATATATGTCATAACTCAACAGCTACATAAACTAACAGAGATTGTTGAAAGTTCCAGGAAAAAAGATTTCATCATTTGTCAGTCCTGCTGACACGGACTGATGTGTTTTGCAAAGTCAACCATGGAACCCTCAATCTCCTCCACCACCAAGCTGAATGTTAATTGCACCAAAATCTTTTAATGAATATTCTGCTTTTATTATTTACAATCTAGGCCTTATGTTCATTGTATTGTCAGTAAGTCAATAATCATGAGCAGTTACCACTATCTGCACATGAAAACATCAACATGAAAATGATCACCCAGACTGTCCTTTGTAAATATCTGTTCAACCTTGAGGAGATACTGTGACAAGTTCAACTTGAGGTTCTCAGTGCAATATACAGTTGCAATGACCATTTTGTGACTGTGTATGTTGCAATGTTCACCTTCATTTTCACTTGTAAATAATTTGGTTTGTATCACAGGGTTAAACTTGGCATTTGTTTACCACTTGACAATAGATCTCCACAATTAAGTTGCTTTTATGAAATTTCAGGAAACTCATCTCGTCCACTGTAGCATGCAGTCAGGACTAAATGGAGGTTGCTCTCTATACACCATTGCATTTAATTTTATTTTAATAATTTTATAGAAGAATGAATACCAGTATAGTTTCTCTTACTGCATTGCTTACATTAAATAATTTACTAGTCTGAGTCAAACAGTGAATCAGTGTGTTTTTTGTGTGAAGACAGTAAAACTCTGAAACACTGAAATAAACACACTAAAAATTCAGATGTTATTAGTCAACAATATGCATAACAATACATAACTCTGTTTAATGATTACTGAAATGTGACTGAAAAGATGATGAGTGTTTAAATAGATGATTCACTGTGTCATCACCTGTAGGTCAAATTATTAGTGAAACCAGGCAATAAAACGATCTTCTGTGTCTTCTGTATTTAGTTGTCAGNNTTGATACATTTCTATTCCCCCTCAACCAAATAAAACTTTGCTGGTAGACCGACCCCTCCAAAGCCGCGGAAGCGAGCCAGCACTTGGTTATTGATGAAGCAGCTCTGGGCAGGGTTGGCCAGGGCCTGGTCCAGCAGGTGGTTGATGAAATATATGCCAGGCTCCACGGTGAGGACCATCCTCTCCTGCACCAGGCGGCCCATCCGCAGACTCCTCAGTCCAGGCTCGTCAATACGCTCCACCCCCTGGGCAACAGTACAGTTTGTTAAAGCTACAGCTTCACAGTTACAAAACATGAGCTGTGTAGTATCAGAACATAACTATCGTTAAACCTTCTGTGGACCTGACTGTTGTACTGGAATTAGCAAACACTGTTGTTCTGTCATGTATTCTCAGAATGACTGAGCTCTGTATTCATATTCAGTGAGCCCTGCTTATCAGTGTACTTCCCATACGGACACCATCTGGTGAGCAGTTCCTCTGGAGCTTCTGTGGGTTAAGTGTCTTCTGTATTTAGTTGTCAGAAGAGCATAACAGTATAAAATCCTCCACCACAACCTGAAACCGTCTGTGTTCAAAGTTCAGACAACAACAGCTTCCCCTCTCTCCTGCCCTCACGGTGAACTTGCTCCTGCAGCTTGACCTCTTTTTGTTCTGCTCTCACTTCTGCAACGAGGATCTCTCTATTATTGATGACACATACATTTTGGACGAACAGGACCGTGTTTTCTTCTTTCTCTCACCTCAGAGTATCCTGAATGATATACGCTGTCATTCAAGATCCCGATATTCACCAGCTCCTCCAGGTGAACCCGGTCAGCCAGGCGGTGCTTCACACCTTCAACACAAGCAGCATAAATGATCACCTTTATGCCCCATTTGTTCAGAGATAGAGATGGTGGAATGAAAAGAAATGTATTCAACAGATTTATTAGGGTTTTATTTGTCCAATCATTACTAAGTAGCTCCTTCAGTTTCATTAATTGTGCAAACAGTAAACCAAAAATAGCTTGGCAAAAATGACACCTACGCATGTTGGCATTTAATCAATTGCTGACTGACTAAAAGATGATGACCTGGTTTGATGGCAGTCAGGACAGCTGGAGGATGTGAGGACAGCGTCATAGATTGTCCTCCACTCTGGAGTGAACTCGCCATTGGCTGGGAAGCATATATATATATATATTTCAGAACAGTTTAAGAACGTTTCCAAAGTGCTTTGGGTTTGAGTTATTTACAGAGCAACAAACATGCACACAGATAAAAAGATTACAATTAAAAAATTACAGGAATATAATGTCTTATGCCAGGTCCTCATTTTCCAAGATCTTAATTTGAAAAGAAAAACAGTTTGCAACCACTGACCACTATTCTCCGAAAAGAATTTGTTACACCTGGCCATGTCCACATGATGGCGCCAGAGTTAAGAACATTTCAAATACTATACATAATGTTGTATATCTTGTTACCTGTGTGTAGAGGCCTGTGCAACAGTTTAAAATGCATGCTGTCTGCTACACACTACACTCTGCTGGTGATGCTCCCCTCTGGCATAAGACATACAACATTTGTTCTAAATTTTTTAATTTAAATGCAATTTTTGTGGTCAGTCAAGTGAGTTCCATAATTTGGATATTTAGAGTATAAACATTTTATAGAAACTATTAGACTACATACATGAAAACCTTTCTTGCTGTTTATTTTTGTTATTATTATTCTCATATCAACTTCTTTTTAACATTAAAAAACTGGAGGATTTTTGGACTTGATAATGGTGTTTAAGGAGGCTTCAAAAGTTGAAGAGAGCCCTCAAGTACTTGCTGATTTTCAGTTTTTACTGCATACTTCTAGATAGCGTCATAAGTGAAAAACTATGTGACAATATTGCTAAAATATTACTTTAATGCAGCAGATAATTGGTCAAAAGCCTTTGGTCTCTGTTAACTGCTGGCCTCAAAGCTCCTGGATGAAGTTAAAATCAATAGCACAAACAGTTTACAGCCTCTTATTTTGAATCCTTTGGTCGAGTTTCAAAGTCAATAAGGTGCTTTCATACCTTTAATGTCCTGCTCTGAACTTTCATTTTCTTTCTTTTCCTTTATTGCTTGGTTAGAGAATAATTTGAATGATACCAATTTGAGCAACCTTGCAGATGCTGTTAAGTGAAGAAGTTTTTTTGTGTCATTTTGTGGGTTTCACTGGAAATCCTGTTTGTGTAGCACAGAACTCAAATGCCAAGAACAATCAGGCAAGCAGGAAGTACAATACATCTGTGTGGACTGGTGTCGGATTAAAACAGGAAACAAACAACAACCAAAAAAAAAGCCTCTACTTTTGACAGCAGACACACAATGAGCTGACTAGGCAGCCAAGGTTTGTGAGAATTTAACAGAAGAAATTTTAGACAATTAAGAGCAGCACTACAATCTTTATTCTAGTCTTTATCTCAAATATGAATATTCATCATCAAGTGATTTAATTACTTACCATGCCACAATGACTCGGTGTTAACTTGGAAGCTGATAACAGAAACAAACAAACAAAAAACTGCAAGAGTGTGACTATAAACACAACAATAACACTAACAGTTAGGGGCTCAGGCTGATACCGTTGATCAGGCTGTATGTGGTTTAGAACAAAGACCAGTGCTAAGGAAAACATTGCCATTAATTGATAAAGAACAAGCAAAAGTTTTTGCTTAATTGATATATCGTCAGAATTAGGTTAATCAATATACATGAGAGTCTGATTATGTTCATGTAAAAGGACGCCAATTAAAATTAAACACACCAACTAATTCTTTGAGAGGAGGTTTTACAGCAGATGCTCCCACTATCTGTATTCAGTCCCGCTGCAAAAAACAAACAAACACAAAACATGTCAATACAGTGCATTAGATTGCTTTATATCCAGGCTCATTATCTGTTCTCTAATCAGAAATGAAATGTATGGAAAATCTGGCCTGATATACAATAAGAATTTTATTTCATTCCACGCTGTTGTGGCTCTGTATATCAAAGTGATGACTGCTTAAATGATTTAAATGCAGTTGAGTATGAGTGAGGATATCACCTTTAGTTCCATAGTGATTCAATAAGTCAGTTAGCAAAAATAACTTGATAAAGACGTAAAAAAATAAATGAATAGTTGGTAACAAAAAGCAAACAGTTCACCAATGGGACTTTTTACAATTACAGTGCTTACTTGCAGCTGTACAAGGTTTCTTTTCTTTTTTTGTTAGAATTTGTTTTTTGGCAGGTTGCAGTTGAACCCGGCCGCTTCAGTAAACACTGAGCCTTAGTACACAGTGCACACACTCTACCCGCTGAGCTGCTGGGGCACCGTACAAACAGCACAGACCGTTCCTGAAATATGATCACGCACCTAAAAAATATCGATTTGTAGCAGACTGGGCCAACAATAAACAACCATTTTTTACGGATGAAAAACATTTAAGTTTACATTTTAAATCTCCACAAAGCGTGCATTCAACAGTCTAAAGGTGAAGTGTTTGCATGTTAAGCAGTACTGTGTGCAACAACACCTTCAAGTCTGAGTGAGTGATATCACACTGCTCAAATATTCATGAACTCAAACGCTGCTGTCACTTCATAGCTCAGTGACTGAACATTAAGGTTCAAAAAAAGAGGTCACACACACACACACACACACAAACACACACACACTTACACACACACCTAGAGACCAGCACCAACACAGACAGACTTACATCACAGGTGTATTGCACCTCAACAGCATAACTTCTCATTGAAGTGCTATTTAGGAAAGATCCTGTCAACATATGAAAAACTGGCAAAGAAAAGTAGCAGAAACAAGTTTAATAGCCAATTTGAAAACATAACAGACGGGGTAATGTTACAGTCTGGGGAAAAAAATTTGTGAGGGAGATCAATTTTGTAAAATATTTGTTAAATGTTTGTTTTATTTTGACAGCTCAAGGTAGACAGGAAAAGGGGAGAGAGAGGGGGGATGACATGCAGCAAAGGGCCACAGGTCTGACTCTAAGCCATAGGTGCTACAGCAAGACAAATTTGATCATGAACACAAGTCATTTCTGTACAGAGTGGCTTGCCTACATATTGGTTACATAGTGAGATTAAGAGTTCTACAGAAACTGTGACTGCTATTCCACTTTAAGGAATGCTGGCAAGGTTTTTGAGGCACCTCGACTGAATCCAACCAGGCGCTTCAGGAAGCTATGGGTGTAGAATAAAATGCTCAAACCTACACAGCATGCTTTTCCCCCCACTTCCCATTAAAAACCTGAACACCACTCTCACCCAACTCTCAAATGTTCAACTGTAAATTTACCTCTGATTTTTTAGCTCTGAACTCTGAAACTGAAACCAAAAAAATAGATCACTTTAATAATATATTTTAAATTTCAAACGTTCAAAGGCTGATTCTGGAGTTTTTCAGCACATTACTGATTATTTGTACACTTTACAACATACTTTCCTTGTGTTGGTTCCTGAATAGATTCAGTTTTATCATCCATCTAGAGGACAATAGCAGTCCTATAACAAATATATATTTACTTCTTATTATTAAACATGTTGATTTAATGCTCATTCATCTTAAAGAGTAACTGTCAGGAAATGTTCTTCTGTCAGAGGACATGATGATTATTCTGATTACTGTCTGGTTCACAGAAACTTTGTGGTCCCATGTACTGATTTGTATGAAAGTCTTTACAATACAGCAATACTCACATAAAACTAAAAAACAAACAAAATAAACTAAACACAATAAATTTGTGGCAAATAGTTGCAAATTAAAATGTTTTTTTAATCTTATTTCACTGCATTTTTTATGAATCAGTGTTTACAAAGAGGAACATACTGTATAAGAATATAAATTTATAAAATTGTATTTCCAGGAGGCACAGAAACACCTTCAGTGTATAAAGGTAGTTTGTCCGTTACAGGAAGTGCTAACATTTATTATATTATATTATTTTATATATTACATTATGAAAGCTTTTATATTGGTGTGTTTGTTCTGCCATTATGTGGTGGCAGTTTGTAGTGACTCCGTGACTGCAGCAGATTGCAGCACCTTATACGGATGGCAATCTTAGTGTTATTTAAATTTTACATATTAGTGATAAAAAATAGAGAAAAAAATCATCACAATCAAATCACACCATATTTTAGCATAATCAATCAAGAGTTACATTTAATCATCACAGACCTGTTATATTAGTGAAACAATGATAAATACAAATTCAGGTATTCAAGATTATTTCATTAATCACCTGGCATGCGAACATCCTGGTCCTCTGGATGCACAGGCAATCTATGTACAGTGATTTTTTCCCAATGTGTAAGTTTGACACTACTGCTGGAGCAGCTGATAACTGCACAGCTTCTTCCTGATTTCCTAGACATCGTTGTAAAAAGCAACATTACATAGAAAGTTAAGCAAAAGTAGGACACTGTTTTTAGGAAAGCTTGCATTCAAACATTGGCATATTGTACCACAGTACCACCACACTAATGGTGACTTGTTTACTTCCAAAAAGTGTATGTATATAAATTAGATATGAGAGCGGGAGTAATAACTCTGCAGTAAATAATGACATCGCTGGTTACAGCTCAGACTTCACTGTGAGATGTCATTCAGAATTTCTCACTGCTGGCGATGGGGCTAAAGGGTTTCACAGAGTCAGCCATGAAAGCCTCAATCTCCTCCACGGTGCGAGGGACGCAGGTCAGTACCTCTTTACCATCAGCTGTCACTGCAATGTTCTCTTCAACAGGAACCTGCACACAGTAGTAGTCAGTCAAAAACGGTAGAATCGTAGCAGGAAACATTCACATGCAAACACAAATAAGGATTTATATGTTGAATTTTCAACTTTTTTGTACAATTTCATGAGATTGATTATCATTATTATCATATCATTTATAACACATCAACTTAAAGGATGACATCAGAGACAGTAAGTCCAACGGGGCAAGACAGTAACAAGGGTTGTAGAAAAATCCACTCTTTGCCATTGTATGTAAACTTTTTTTTTAAAGTATTTTTTGGGCTTTAATTGCCTTTATGATAGTGACAGCTGAAGACAGACAAGAAAAGGGGGCAAAGAGTGGGGAAGAAACGCAGCAAAGGGGCGCAGGTCGGATTTGTACCCTGGGCCGCTGCAGCAAGGACTCAGCCTCCATACATGGGTCGCCAGCTCTACCCACTGAGCTAACCAGGCACCCATAAATTACTTATTTAAAAGTGAAATGTCTCTCTAATGTCTATTGGACCTTGCAGACTTACTGTATCAGGCTCACTGGAGATACTACGTTAACAAATCTCAGCCATTAAGTAGCTGATTTAAGATTCAATGACTTTTACATCAATTAGTCAAAGCACCTTCACTTTAGAAACATTTCTATAATGTAAAACAGTCCAGTCATACTGTAATACATTGTAGTCTTTACTTTGCATTACTTGACTTTAAAAGTGATTAGTTGTAGCGTTTAGCGTCACAGTATATTGTGCCTATTGCAAAACAAGAAAGAATTGCAATATTGTCATTTTGTGGACCAGGTTCATTTCATTATTAGTGGCTTTGTAGCATTAATCTTGTAGACAACTTGATACATTTCTATTCCCCCTCA